ACAGGGCTACACTTAGAGACAGACAACCAAGCACACTCACATTCACACCTACGGACAATTTACAATCACCAATTAACCTCAGCATGTTTCTGGAGAACCCGGAGAGAACCCACGCTGCACAGGGAGAACATGGAGACTCCACGCAGAAAGATTCTAACCGGGATGCGAACCGGCGACCTTCTAGCTGCGAGGCAATGGTGCTAACCACCGAGACACCTGCAGCTCCACAGTTTGCACCAGATCTTGTAAAAAAACTAAAGTTCTGCCCTCCTCAGCACAACTAGAAGCTATTGCATACATTCAGAAGACACATTCAGCACAGTGAGAGAAGTTCAGACGTCCTCATTTCGTTGTTTGTTGTTGGTTTTCTTGTACTAACTGCTGCAAACTGGTCACTGGATGTAGACTGCAGGTAAAATTCTGCCATTTTTAAAATCCCCCTCGCTTCGGAAAACAACCTCTGAGCAGCAACAGACACCCTGAACATGGCACGTTTTGACGAAGGCTCATACAAGAAGGCAGAGCTGATTGCTTATTTCGATGAACCAGCCGTTTAAATGACAGCGCTCACCTCCCTGTTTGCATGCAAATGTTCCACTTATTCCTCCTACTTTGCAGGGGCTCCATCATTGCAACCTGGGCTGAGTGCTGCCAAGACAACTGTGACTGGTTTAAATAAACAGACATGTTTTACCCCTATAGCAGGATCCTAATGGGAGCAGCCAGACGTCAGGCTATACGGTGCACACGGACGTATGTGACACATTTCCCCAGTGACTGACAGTTAATGGTGGTAATGTGCCAGAAAGTGGCAGGAAAGAAGAAGAAGAAGATGATGACTGCTGTCTGGCAAACACAGATGGAAATGATGCAGGTTTATTTTGAAATACTGAAAAATATAATCTTTGCAAAAGTTCTATGACGAGGACGAGGCAGCCACATGTTGCTAGACCTCATTCATACACACAGTGAGTTTTAGTTAGGAATAATAAACATCCATCCATCATGTCTACACCTTAATCCTCACTAGGGTGGTGGGGGGCTGGAGTCTATCCCAGTTGACTCAGGGTGAAGGCAGGTTCACCTGGACAGGTAACCAGTCTATCACAGGGCTACACTTAGAGACAGACAACCAGACAGACAATTTAGAATCACCAATTAACCTCAGCAGGTTTTTGGACCTTGTGGGAGGAAGCCGGAGACGCTGTGAACATGGAGACTCCACGTAGAAAGATCCCGGGTATCCTCACTGTGACGCGAACCAGCGACCTTTCCAGCTGCGAGGCAACAGTGCTAACCACCGAACCACCTTGCAGCCCACTTAGGAGTTATTCACACTCAAAATCTCTAGAATTTAACATGATCGCTGGTGGAACGTCCTGATTCAGACCAGTTACTGTTTTCAGATGATCTGCTTTTTTGTTGTTGAGCTGTGATATGCAAACTGCTTCACACACACACTCATGACATCTTTGACGTACTCTGTAGCCGACTTTGAGTAAATGTTTCCTAAATGTTAAACAGGTTGAACCCGAGCAATGACAGATGTGAGCATATCGACCAACCAGTGGACCTGGAGCCTGCAGCCCAACTCCATATAACTCCTGACAGTGTCTGCAATCAGGTTCTCATATTTAGTTTGTTTTTGTTTGTTGTTTTTTTTTAGCAAAATGACTCAAATGCATTTGTCAGCAGCATCGCATGGGTTAAGTGTAAATAAGAAATAGCAATTAAAATAAGAGTAATAGATTTAGGTTAACATTTTTTCTGTCTTAAATTGATGGATCCTGGTTAAAGCTGAGGTTGATCACATTTCATTCATGAAACAATAGTTTTCCAAAATGCCACCACAACACATGTGCACCTGTTGGCGATGTGAGGAACTACATCTCCCAGCACTGCTGTGGTGTAGTGGTAGAAGATTGGCTTTACAATCTTTAGAGTGCTTCACTCTGGCAATTGAAAGAAAAGAAAAAAAGCGTGTTGCAGTAAGACACAAAACCCCCAGTAGCTGTTTGCACTGATGCCGCGTCCAGTCAGGAGGTGGACGTACAGGACAGGGATCGAATGTTAGCGTTCCTCATTATGACTGCAGGGAGGAGCTGGTGGGTTTAGAGAATCAGCCAAACTGTGTGAAGGTTTAGCTCTGCAGGATTTCACCTTAAACAATAATATCTGCTGTAAAGACTGTCGTAATGTTTGTAGCTGGTATACTGTGTGTCTCTAACATACAGTCCTCTGAAACGCAGCGCTACAAATAACTTCCATTCACAGAGAGGAACAATCACCTCGCATGCCGAGAAACAAGCTCCCACTGCTTCAACCAGCATGAAGAGAGAGACATCTGACAGGTGCTGTGTTCACATTGCTCTGCTCTTTTAACCATGCAGACAGCAGACATGAGGTGTCTGATGCACATCCAGTCAGATCATTCAGAAGCTTTACAGTTTTACTATTTGTACTTTTAAACCCTTATACTAATGCTACGGCACATTTATGCACATTAGGGCTCAATAAACACACAGTGAGATGATGTATGTGCTGCAGTGCATTTGAAAAGTTTGTATTTTAGGAGCGATGATAGCTACAGTGTGAATGTGCTCAGCTCCTCCCTGCTTTAGTGGTCACCTATAAGCCAGCCGGGATCCTGTATGAGATGGTGATGGGCTTACATGTCCGTGGCGATGGTGGGGGCTCTTCTCTGTGCAAGAGCATTAGCGGTGCTAAATGCAGTAATACCATCAGGGCTAACGTGGTTATGAGAGCATGCTGCTTTAAAACAGGTGGAACTGGGCAGACTGAACAGAGAGCCAGGAGGGGGATCTTTATGCACCTGGAGCACACTCCCCTCCATCAGATAGTACAGCGGATGCACCTTTCACGACATGTTTGGCAGGTTGAAGGGCTTCCTCAGCGGGCCGCAGGTGCCGGCGGACTCTGGGACCAAGAAGGCGACCCCTGACCCTGCCCCAGCTCCAGCTCCAGCTCCAGCTCCAGCCAAGGTACTCCAACTAAAACTGCCCTTTATTCAGCATGTTATTCATTTGACTGTAAAGATGCAGGATTCTTCTGTGATACTCCTTCAAACTTTGATTAGCTTTCATGCAGCTCAGCGTGTGCCAGTCACAGCAGCAGCAGCCAAGACTGAATTCAAAGATAACCACAGAAATAATAATATATTGCATCCAGCATGTAATACGGCGAATTGGTTGCGTTTGTTTCCTCGCAGATCAAAGCAGCGGCCTCTTATCTGGTCCTCCATCCGTCCACTGGCTCAGTACTCTTCGCCAGCAAAGAATCAAACGAAATTGTTTCATTACACGGACCTCATTGAAATCACTCATTACCCGACGGGCACTTTTAAATTCATTTCGGCTCAAACACAGCTTGTTTTTAAAAGTGTCTATCAGGCAAGGGAGTAATTTGTCAAACGCTAAATTCACTATTCTTTAAAAAACGCTCTCGAAATTAAAATGTCTCTCTAATGGCCGCGGTTTGACTAATGGAGCCGAGCATCTGACTTTGTGGAAAATGTTGATTTGTCGTGTAGGAGGAGAAGCCAGCCGATAAGGAGGATGGAGCCAAGAAAGTGGACAAACCGCAGGGTGAGTTATTCAAGAGGCTGGAAATGATACGTTTGCTGCAGAAGCTGGATCTGGATCCCAGACACTTACAGACACTGAAACTTTATTCATGCACATAATTCTTTTCACTGCAACTTTTTTTTTTTGACTGGCTTCATATTTGTGCACATAAAATATTGCAGTGTAACCCAACGCTTATTTGCAAGTGTCTGCAGCTGCTCTCAGTTTAATTCTTTGTCAAATCTAACTACAGTATCGGGAAGCTTAAAGCAGCCATAATCAGCTTTGTGTGCACTCGAAAGGCATCGATCAGTAAAAATAATCACGCCGGTGAGGCAACAGACAGGCCCGCAAATGACACTAATTGTCTGGTGACAGATGTTCGGCGTGAAAAGATCACCTCTGGACAACTTTTCTCAGCCTCGCTGTCCATCTCAATTTCAGCTTCGCTCCCTCGGTTGCTAAGCTCGACGAGAAATTGAATTCCATTGATTTGTTGATTGTCTTGCTAAAAGTTTAGACTCCCTCTTGCAGCCAATTTGGAGTGAAGAACGCTGGGATTGTCTGTGTGTCATCCATCCAGGTTCTGTTACCCCCCCGCTGCTGATCATACTGTTAGTTAATGTGTCTGGAAGCTGGAGAGACAGCTCCTAATCAATTTCCTTCACTGTGGTGTGTAGCTTCCTGTCTGTCTCGTACAGAGAGTCGGGCTCGTATACAACCAGTGCAGCAGCGATGCCAGAAAAACAAAATATAAAGGATTAAAGATGCTGCTCCATGTAGGGCTTTGTCACCAGGAAATACTGGCCTTGATTGATGCCTTTCAAATTCATACTTTTAAGCCACGTGAACAATTGATGCTTCAGCTGATCCATGTTTACATCAGTAATATTGCTAATTACGTCGTTTATAAAGCACTTCATAGAAAATATGTTGCAGGAAAACAAGGAATGAAAAAGTAAAATAAAAAATGTGCTTTATTTTAGTCTTGACTGATACAAAAAACTTTATAATAACAAGTCTGGAGGAGTGAAAATATAATTCTGATCTTTTTTCTCAGAACCAGCTCCTGCCCCTGCACCGGCCCCAGACCCTGCACCTGCCCCGGCTCCTGCACCAGCACCTGCCCCGGCGGCTCCTGCCCCGGCAGCTCCTGCACCGGCTCCTGCCCCAGCGGCTCCTGCACCAGCAAACCCTGACCAAGCTGGAGCCGAGGGGTAAGACCTGCTCTGGTTTCCAGAGCTTCCACTGGTTTTAGCCGCCGTCACGCCGACATCCACCAACCTTCATCATCACCAAGTGTTCCGTCCACTTCATTTGTTGTGGTACATTTAATCGCATTGAAAGTAATAAGCAATTACAGGGAGTAGTTACAGCAGCGTATTTATCCCTGGAGGATCTGCCGAGCCCCCAAACTCCACCAAAACACACGCCTGCCAAGACAGTGACACCACAAACCAGTATCAAATTAATCACCCAGTGGACACTAATTAATCAGCTTCCCTGGCAACCAGGCGGAGAGAGACAGAGAGAGGCCTCAGAGATGAGCACAGCATGTGAGATCTTTATCCTCTGGTGCATCGCTCATATTAACACAGGGATGACCTGAAAGTGGATTAAAAGCTTTTCAGCTTTTTAGGTTTAAGGAGCTCACCGGGGCTGCTTCTGGCACAGCAATAAAAGCCACGGAGGCGACAGGTAGAGACAGAAACAGTTGATCCTCGCAGTTTTAAACGCTTCCAAACGAGGAGACGTGTGGTAAATGTTTCGTTAATGAATAATGAAAGAGTGGTGGCAGGAGTTAGGGGTGGAGAGCAGCTGTATGGGTCGTCCTCAGCAGGTTAGGCTGCTGCAGGATGATTGTTCATCTCACTAAAGGATCCAACGCACTTTTAAACTACACCTTCATGATGAGGGTCGATTGCTTTAATATCTGGAGCCAGCGCTAAACACACAACGTGCAATTTCATGCATTTCTCTTGCAAAACAAATACCCATATCATCATATTGGATAAGTGGGATTGTTCCTCCGCAGCACTCACATTTTCTAATGCAAACTAATGCAAAGCACTTGCCCGTGTCTGTCTTGCATTTTGCGAGATTAGAACGCGGCCCTGGACTTGACGAGACACATTAGCGAGATGAAAAGCTGCAGCCTTCAGGGTAGATTAAGTCTGCGAAGGCTTCCTATCAGCACTGCGGCTCGCTGCCACCAGAGGGTGACCTCATCTGCAGCTCTGACCAAAGGAGGGACGCCTCTCCATCACCTCTGAGCTGAGTGATAACAGCTCCCAAAGTTAACTTTCTTCCACTATGGGTCCCAAAATAATGTGGAAAGAAACGCCACTGACAGGCCAGAACGCAGAACAACCTCCTAAGAAAATGTCGTTTTGGTTTTGGCTCGCTGTGAAGAATATTTATCGACATTGATTTAATTACAGAGTTTGCTTAAACCGATTATAAACTGGCTTTTAAATGTGTTGATTCGTTTGATGACGACTGGACACAAATGACTTCTTCTGTCAAACGTGAACATCTGTGATCTGTGTTACTCATCAGCAGCTCATGTTGTAAATCTCTCCATTTGAATCATACTTACCGTGTTTATTCAGGAGCAAACAGCAGCTCATGAACCAGCCACTGATGATGGAGACAAAGCTTCCTGAAGCACCGAATCACCAATAAAATGGCGACATCTGCTGGTCACATCGTGGCATTTACACTCATGGATGTTGTTTGAAATTACAAACAGCAAGAAGTCAATTCAGTACAGTTTAATCGGAGACATAAAATCAATCTGCCTCAAAGAAAAATCAAGTTTATCAAAGCTTTTGACGAAATATGAAGAAGTAATGAAATAACTGGGACTCAGCTTTGCAGCCAGTTCAACATCTGCAGGAGACTTTGATCACTGTCTAGAAAAAAATGCACATTTAAATTACTCAGAAATGATATTTTTCTGAATGTTTTCTTATTTGTAAGTTTGATGATTTGTAGATTTCTCTGTGCTCACTTTAAATCTGAGTTTAGGTGTAAGAAGGAATATTGTTTTTGACGTCATAATTAAGTCTAGAATCTACTTCAGACCCAGGATGAAGGACTCATTTACAATTATCTCCATTTTAATTTTCATAAATTGTCTTTTTCTTTTTTAAA